GGGGGATTTGAACGGCATTTGGGCCCGGGTAGGGGGGAATTTGAACAATAATTTTCAAAAAGTCAAATGCCCGGGGGGTTGCCCGGGGGGGGCATGTTGAAGCTTCGATTTGACCGATACATTACTGAGTCAAACTGAGAGACAACCTTCTCTGAGGCGATTTACGGACTGGAGGAAAGAAATGATTAATTATTAGTATATTTTGGTTGGGTGATAGGCAACAACCGAGGCCCAAAAGTCCTTCTTATAGCGTAAGACCGTCGTCGCAAACGTAATTTTTTACCTTGGCGAGTTAATCTGGGGCACCCAACGTCAATTTTCGGAAAATAACTGTTCGGAAGACGATTTGAGATCTAGAATTTTCGGAACATTTGTTGTAGAATTTCTTGCTTGCCTGCCACTCCTAGGATTTTTGAACATCTAGAAATGGTACAATTGTTCATTTTTAACGGATTTTTACCTTAAAAAGGTCACCTAGAATTTCCGGGAGCCTTTTTTCTGGCTGAAATTTTCGAAAAGGTATGTTTTGATCCCTGTAATTTTCGGATCACTGGACTTTCAGCTAGGAAATCCGAACAGATGAAAACTTTTTAGGGGATGAAAATATGCCTATATCTACCGTTTAAATACTAAAATACGTTTAACAATGCTATGTTTAAGTAGTTTTGAACTATACTCTCGTTGGGTACCCCTGGTTAATGTTCAAACTAGAATATAGTTTTGTCGCAGGCTAGCACAAATCGAATCGAATTCCACCGCAGGGAAATTCACCTTCTGAGCGTCAGATTTCACGTGTAGTTTCACGTGACTTTTGATGACCTTTGTTGTAAACAAACCTTGAAAGTTTGGACATCTTTTCTCTCCCACATACTGTACTTGTACGAACTACGAATCGCAATTTCAAGTTCGCGTTAACTTATATATTTTCCTTCCCTTTCCCTGATCGAAAATCGAATAGTTTAAGGTTCAAAATGTCAAAGCAGAAGAAAGGGGGTGACTTTGACCGCCTTGAGTGTGGTAAAACAGAAAAAACATTCGCCGGAACATGGAGTTTCAAAAAGCGCGTGAATATCTCCTCTTCCTTTGAAAGAATGGTTTTGCCCGGTGGAACTAAACTTGAACTCACTGCCCCATTGAAATGAAACTACTGAGGCAGACACATTTATAATTCATGATACTGCAGTGTGCTTACATTTTCGTCCGGCTCGACCGCCTTTTATACGCTTAAGTATCAGTAAGCTTATGCTTATCTTCTCTGAAGTATGGTACCCCGCCTCCTTTTGTCTCTACATGCTTAAAGGGGCTGTGTCACGGCAGTCCAGTTCACTTTGTTTAATTTTGCCAATTACTCGCCCTCAATCGCTATAGAACTTAAAGTAAGCAAAGAAATTACATTTAAATGACAAAATTAGAGATCTGAGACAAACAAATATGTCTCCTCAGCATTATGTTTGAAGTTGCAAGCAGCAGGGATAAACTTTGAAAAACTGTTAGGCTGAACAGTTTTCAAAAACCCTAATTTCAATCCGTTTCAGTCCTCTTCAGTTTTGTCCATCCGTGGCATCTGTTGTTTCTGTTACGCTATTTTAACCTTCCTTTAAAGTTTTAAGCGGTTATTTTTATGTTTCTCTTAATTTAACGGGCATTTTGTAATTTCCCAATTTGGCTGAATTTCGTGACACAGCTCCTTTAAATACAAACCCAGTACAAGTTCACAAAAGCGTGCACTATTTTGCTACCGATATGTGAACAGCCTCTTGATTCAACTTCAGTAAGTACTTACCATCAACATAACCGTCATCAAAAGTGTCTAGTCCCTGTTTGCCGTAATATATAATTGAAAAGGAAAATGTCAAACAACAAGTGGCCAAACGGTCTTTGTAGTGAAAATGGATTGGAAATTTTATAGCCTGTGATCGCGTGCGATCATGAATTTTGAAATGTGAATTATGTATGTATCATGAAATTTGCCTACATCACCGGTTTTATCTCTTTCGAGGTTTAGTTCTAATGTTAAAACCATTTCAGCTGCTGAGAAGGGAATTTCCACTACCAGCACTCCTCGTTCCTGCAGTTCTGCCAGCTCTTGGCCTCAAAATAGCTCTTATTCTTCTGCTTAGACATTCTTTAACCTTAAACTTTTCGAGTCTCAAACAGCAAAAGGGAAATAACATTTATAAATTAACGCGAACTTAGCCTGCGTAGCAAGTGTTTCTGTTTAGTTTCAGAGAAAAAAAGACGGAGGAAGGGGATTTTCGGTTTTGACTGCGCTAGAAATAAAACGGGAGTCAAAAAAAGAAAGAGGGGGGAGGGGGAGGGGAAGGAAGGAAACCTTTCCTTCCTTTCTTCCCCACTCCCTCCCCCCTCTTTTACTTAAACTTACGCGCGGTCTTTGACTCTTGTTCTTCGTTCTTTGCTCCTAAAGCGCACAGAAACGCTTGCTACGCAGGCTAACGCGAACTTGAATTAGCGAGTTGTGGCTCGTACAAGTACAGTATGTGGCAGAGAACGATGTCCGAACTTTAGGGGTTTGTTTACAACAAAGTTCATCAAAAGTCACGTGAAACTACACGTGAAATCTGACGCTCAGAGTTTGAATTAGATGGACCTTAAACTCACAACAAAGGCATGCTAAGAACTTAAGAATCAGGGGCACCCAACGACCGAAAGTTTCCAAATACGCCAGAAATGTCTGAGATGGTTTTCTCTATGCTTTGGAAGCCTGTTTGGTTAATTTGGAGTTGCCCTAAAAACTATTTATCTGTTCGGATGCCTTAGGGGAACTTTGGTCGTCACGAAAGTTTTACTGGTGGCTTCTTCGTCTCATCCGAAAGTGTTAGCTACCCTTATGGGTCCAGTCGAAAGTTTGAGGACATGAAGTAGCCTTGCTATCATTAGAAAATTGTAGGGGACGTTTTGTCTTTATAACGAAAGTTTCAACAACTGTCATCGATTTGAAAAGTTGGTCTATTTGTTCTCTTGAGTCAACCCAAACATATTCCTAGAGCGAGTCCCTTAACATCTTATTTGTTAAGTGCATGGCTATGACTAGCAAAACTTTAAGACCATTTAAAACGGAACACAGTATGAGAAGATTTATCGGTGCTGCTAGATACAAAAATAAAGCTTGATTTTGCACTTCCCGACTCACCAGTGATGGCGATGTTCACTTCCACGCTTTGCCAATTCTCCAGTCTCTTTCTAAAGAACTCTTCAATATTTGACACGCCAAACTCTTCGATTTCTTTTTTAAGCTCCTCCGTCAAGTCGACTATTTCGCATTCGGGTAGGAAAATGTCTGACATAATGAACAGGGACGTCTAGGGGTCTCTCGGGGCTCACTTCAGTCACTTTTTTCCCCCACGGTGAAACTTCCTTAGCAACACTTTCGGTTTTGTTCGGTTCCGGTTCGAAACAGAAAGTGAAACCAACAAACATGGTCAACCCTGGAAGATGCTTATAATAGAAACTGGTACTATGCTGTGCTGAATTTTGGGGAGAAACAACTCTCATCTATTTGAAAAGTTGGTCTATTTCATGTCACGGTGCTCTTGAATAAAACCAAACATACTCCCAGAGCGAGTCCCTAAATCGTATTTGTTAGGTGCATGCTAGTGACTAGCAAACGTTTAAGACCTAACACGGAACAGAGTATGAGAAGATTTCTCGGTGCTGATACATACAAAAGGCTGATTAAACAAGTGCGATAGATTTTGGTGAAATGCACTTACTCTCGTATGGTGTTGATAAAGCTTGATTTTCCACTTCCCGCTTCACCAGTGATGGCGATGTTCACTTCCACGCTTTTCCAATTCTCCAGTCTCTTTTTGAAGAACTCTTCAATATTTGACACGCCAAACTCTTCGATTTCTTTTCTAAGCTCCTCCGTCAGGTCGACTATTTCGCATTCGGGTAGGAAAATGTCTGACATAATGAACAGGGACAAATAGTTTCTTTCATACAACGGCGTTTCTCGCTACTGCAAAAGTGAAACAAAGGAGGATTGAAACGCCTTCCCATGATCCTTAGCGTCAAGTTACACTTCGCAATCCGTCAAAAGGAGGTCCCGTCGGAACTTCTTCCGATGATGGAACCCGACGTGACCTGAGTCGCCTTCGTGTTGTTGGCCTAAGATTAGCTTTGTGTGGGCTCTCGGCTAACAAACTGAACAAACCGTGGTAGAAACGTTATAAATTTATTTTTAACTAAAGAATACTTCTAATCTGAAGAAAAATTATCTTTCTTTTTGCTGGGAACTAAACTTTCCAAAAAATCTCTAAACCTTCCTTTCATGGATGGCTGATTACAACTACAACGGGGCGACATCGCTTGGCAATCAGCTGCAATCCCTCAAAAGGAGGTTGTCTATAAGAACTGGAAATTGAAAGATTCAAAGGGCAAACAAACAGTCAAAACGTACTGTGTTATGTTTGCCATGTGCATTCGAAACACTTTTCATTGCTGAATTAAATGTTAAAAAGACTATTTCTTTAGGAAACCCGTGCTCTATTCTTTTCAGCAATTCACATTATTTTGAAGATTATTTCGATCTGCAGTTTTTATAATACAATTTGCTCAGGTCTTTATAATAAAAGAATACGTCTAACCTGAAGAATTAAACTTTTAGCAAAATCTCAAAAGCTCCCTTTGATGGATGGCTAATTAGAACTAAAAGGGCGCAACCTCGCTTTGCAATCCCTCAAAAGGAGGTTGTCAAACTGAACCGGAAATTGAAAGGTCGGTTATGGATGATTGCGTCGCGATAAAGAGCAAACAAAGCCGGGAAACTGGCGGTAAATTCGTTTTCTTGTGGTTCGCCCAGCTGTTGTTCGCTTCCAGTTTCAAAGCAAGGAGATATATTCGTGAGATATACGCCTCTGGAGCTGTTTGAACACATTTTGTACTTGCCTTTCGGCCACTTCACTCGCAGTCTAATTTCATTTGCATGAATATAATCTGACCTGAATAAAACTAAGTTAATATGAGGGTGATATGTTGCATCATAGTAATTGCATTGAACAGCTGCTACGGTAACCCTTACTGAATAACAACAGCAACTGCAGCTTTATTTGAGCTCGCAATTTGCACGCGAAAGCGCCATATTGAAACTTCTCGAAGAGAGGAGGAGATGGGGCGAGTCAAAGGGAGAGAGGAGGGGGCGGGGAGAGAGAAGAGAAAAACGCCTGCCCGAAAACACTGTGAAAATTAGAAACACCCCATAATTAGACGCGCGTGACCGCTCTTCCGGAAATGAGTAGCCGACAATAACAAAACTATCAAACAGTCGCTCCAGTCCGAGGACTCGCTTTGTCTTAAGAAAAACAAGCTGGAGTTTATCATCGTTTTTATCTTGAGTGAGTCACAATGCAATTCTCCACAGCTGATGAAGCTCCAGTTTAAGTTGCAATTCATTCTTCTAAATTCATCTCTGTAAATCGCTATCCGTGAGAGTTTAACATCCTGCAAACAACGAGCTGGGCCCAGCGTGATACAACATTGCAGGAGAACATCACAGGGACTAATCATGATTTAAACGTCGCTTAGATATCTGATTACCATCACCCACAGTTTTTATTTATACATACAAAACAGATAAAGACATTTTTTCGCACAATCACGTATCCTTACAGCCATCAACGGTTTTCATGTACAAGCAAGCTGCCATTTTACCTTTCATTGTATTTCATTTGCCCACACGTACTAGATGATTCCTTTCAAGGGATTCAACGGCATAGATATTGGAAAAAGGCAGTGTCACCAAGGCCAGCAAACAAAAAATGAGAAATAACCAGGGCTCCGTTTTTGTTATATTTAGTTGTTCGGGCCTTTTACCCCCACAAAAAAATTCAATGATAGGAAACTGGATTTCAAGTTGCTTTCTCGTTAACGAGTCTTGTTTTTCTGTTAGGTATTTCAAGATAATTGTATCGTATTGCGTGCTTGTAGTCAAAGATAACGTTTGAATTTTGACTGAAACGATACAACCTCAATGACCATTCCCCTTTAAATAAACTGCTGTTTAGTTATGATTGTTCACTGCCCCCAAAATGGTTCTCTTTCCTGTTTTTGCCTTGTTTGGTTTACATTTTGGGCACTTCCATGGCAGCTTTGATGTGATGGCCCATCGTGTTGGACTGAGCAGCACCGAGGATGATACCAACCACGGCATGAACAACACTGTATGTACTCTTGCTTGTTATTTGTGTAGGGGTGTGTTCGAGCAACTCGCTCGCTACACGATGAGGAATCTGATTTACATCTTGCTTTTATTTTTCTTAATCTTCCAACTCTTCCACTTTTTCACTTCTACCAACTTCTACTTACTCAACAACTTTCTCGGTTCTACCAACTTCTCCACTCTTCTCTACTTACTAGTTCAAGTATAGTAGCGGTTTTTTATAGCCAAAGCTGGACATGTCTAGGTTAGCTGACCAGCAGAGCTCTATTGAATATCTTATCGCTTATATTGCAACAGGTTTGCTATAGTTAGGGAATAGATTAGCCTACGCACAGCCGCAACTGACAAGTACCAAAGAACGAAGGTCAGCTCTAACACCACAAACACAACCACCTTTAAAAAAAACTAACATCTGACAATGCCAAGCGAATAAAATTCCTAATATGGCAACAAGTAAATTCGCGAGCTAAGCATAACTTCAAGTTCAAGTAAAAACAAAATATCAAAACAGGAAAACAGTATACGTGGACAAAAACAAGACTTAATGAAACAAAAACTAAACTTAAAAAATAAGATAGATCCGTCTTAAAAATAACTTTCAAAATATCCCACAACCTTTGGGAGCCTACAAAGACAAAAGATTGGCACAAAATTCCTGTTGCAAAATAAATAGCAGTGCACTCTTCTTTTGGTCTTGGGGAAAGGTTTCATTTTCTTTGATTCTAGGCAGCTAACAAAGTGTTTGCGCATCTCAAACTGGCTGTACCTCTGTGTTGCTGGATCTAAACCATGGCTCAAGTCGTTTGCAAAAGCTAAGGCCATGAGGCCACAGTCACTGCCGCCAAGCTGCTTTTGCACCTTTTCATTGCATAATGTTACAGTGCCCTGTTGGTAGAAGAGCATGCGACAAGCGTGGTCAATCAAAACTGAATTGGGCTTGCTGTACAAGCTATCAAATATTTTGACTATGCCAGCCTGGCAACCAATGGTGCTTATGCATAGCCAGTGTTTACCCACGTTACTTATCTGGACAAACTCGGACGTGGCCGGAATAACAAGTGATCCTTTCACAGCAGGATCCTGAAGTCCATCAATGAATGGAAATTCCTTCTTCAGCAGTACTTGTCTTGCATGTATTTCGGATTCATGGAGCCAGTATGTGGGCTTTAGTACACAAATTTAATTTCCATGTAGAGGGTAAGCTTAGGGTCATCGGAGGAAAAGCTATTGATCGTGAGTCACGGTGTTGCATCTTGGGAGTAATTGTCATCAAGAACTATAATGGGGAGTGTCCCATCACAGATTGAATTTGTCTGTGAGGAAGTCTCAAGTGATGTGGAAGGAGATGCGGGTGTCTTAGTCGTTGCCGATGCCATGGCAGGAGGATATACACAAGAGGACGCATAATAGGCTGGTGCTTTACTTGCTGGTACAGCTTGTTCACCAGGTGCTGGTGCTGGTATTTGTGTGCTAGTTGCTGGTGCTGGTGCTGGTGCTGGCGCTGGTGCTGGTTGTTGTAGTTGCTGAGGCCGATGCTTGTGCTGGTCAGATTGTTGTCTGCCACTTGCTGATGCTGATGCTGGTGCTGGTGGTTGTTGTGTGGTAGTTACTGGTGCTGGTTGTTGTGTGCTAGTTGCTGAGGCTGATACTTGTGCTGGTTGTTGTGTGCCAGGTCTTTGAGATGTAATTTCTAAACTTAGAACTTGACTTCCATTCATCACTCTCCTTCAGACTGCTCACTTTTTCCAAGTATTCCTGTTCTGTTGTTCTAGGTCTGGATATTGCTCTTAGCTTGGCAAGCACATTTTTCTTTGTTGTCGCCATGCCACTGCCTGATTTACCAAGCCATCTTTCCCAGGCCTGTTCACGCTGGAAAGCACAGATGAAAATCTGAACCTCTGTAGAAACAAGTTATATAAACATTATTGCGAGAAAACGTAGCCGAAAGAACTCCCTAAATTAACCCTCTGTATCGCTCATTATGTGGTGACTTGTTCAGGCTAACGGTATAAAAGATTAATGAAAACTTCCATCCACAGGTGCCCCTGGATTTTAAAAGAGCTCTACTTGAGGTGACTCGCGCCTAAGTTTTTGAAGAGGTAACGTAAGATAAAGTGCGTAAGGTGCCCAGCTATTTACCAAAAACGCATCTGTGAGTTGATGTTAGGGTCAATTTTTTCAGTGGAAGGTAAATAAAAAGCCATGAACGGTTAGGGTTAGCAGTCCGGAATATCCCTAAATTTAAGGACAGGGCCAACTGGTCATGCGACACTTTTCAACCAATGAGAAGGCGCGCTTGTGTTTATCAACAAACAAATCAAAACATCGCCCCAGTGATCAAAAACTTTCAAAACAACGGACGGAGTCGGACAGAATCAGTCATCGTTTCGGGGCTCTCAGGCATATTTTTAAGACTTTTCATGAGGCATACACAATTTTTTAAGTGGACAGCGTATCGGAAGCCGTATTGGAAGTGTCTCGTGAAATATTCAGCACATTTTGTGGCTTATTTCTTCTTTTATCTTTTAAACAACGCGATGTATAGGCGAGATTTTAGTCGGTTTTCAAGGTAGGTGAACAAGTATCTATTATTTTTTCGATTCACAGATTTTTTACGAAGTTCTAGATATTTTTTCTCGATTGTCATATCGATTAACTTTTGTCATGTTGAATGTGGAGATGGTAGACAACCTAGAATTTTGGAAGACAATTTTTGAATTCCGAGGTCCAAAAAACGTACGTTTTCCACTCCCGGGTTTCTCACAGAGCCGTGTTATTACTTTTTTTCGCATTAGTACGAGCCTTTGCCTTTTTTCTTTTCAAGGCCAAAACAACTTTATTAGTCTTATGGATCTGATGGATATTCACGTCCAACATCTCGCCTCACTTTGCCGAATTTGCGGAGATGAAATTGAAGATCATAAGCGCAAGGTAGATACTAACCGCTTTGTTTCTGAAATTCACTAATCTGGAAAGATTTAATGTTGTTGGATTCTCCAAATGTTCATCCACCGTTAAAAAACAATCAAAGAAACAAGGCAAATCTCAATTATAAATGATGTATTTCGCAACTCATTGAACATGCAATGATTATCTGGGATAAAATTAAAACATGCAGGTACTACAGCAAGAAAAGAAAGCACCAGATGCGTGAAGTAAACGCGAAACAACACAAAAAAACAAACAAGAAAAGTTAATAAATTTGAACTACTTTCTATTCTTGTTATGATGACTGGTACTTTGATTCTTGTCCTTTAGAAGTTAATGGGTAGTACAATCCTGTTTTGTACGATCTCAACAAATTTTCACACTCTCTTTAAGGCTATTTTTACACGGGACCAGTTTGCTTCTATCAAAAATCTTGCAAGCCATGCCAGTGAAACTACGAACTCTGCGATCGGTCCGTAATCAATTCGAACACCCCAATGATTCCTTGCAATGACTAATGTTCTTATTCTATTACATGAAATGTTTTCTTTGAAATATTAAATGTGAAACCTAGACGAGTCCTGTAAGCTCATCTTTAATTCTGTCTGACTCCGTCCGTTGTTTTGAAAAATTTTGATCACTGGGGCGATGTTTTGATTTGTTTGTTGATAAACACAAGCGCGCCTTCTCATTGGTTGACAAGTGTCGCGTGACCAGTTGGCCCTGCCCTTAAATTTAGGGATATTCCGGACTGGTTAGGGTTTGGTCAAAAGGCTGTTTCTAAAACGGTAAGGGTTCGGACCTAGGGACGGAGTATCGTTTGTAATCCCCCCTTACGGACCAGTTATTCAGTTGGAAATTATAGCGATTATACGCGACTTTTTCGTCACTATTGCTTCAGCTGCCAGTGCAACATCAACGTCAATGTTTTTAAGTACCCATATATTTATAAGCCACTCTTTCAAGCAATTACTCATTGAACTACCTTGGAATAACTTTCCATTTGCTGACATTTCTTTTTCCGAAAAGTCAACCATGAAACAGGAGGGGTCCATTTTTGGTTCCGCGACTTCAGAACGGACAACGCCTCAAAGATAGCATCAATCGTTTCACTTTGAACAACGAAAGAACCCACGATCTGATCGTCAACGTTAGTCTTGACAACAACACAGAAAAGGGGGAGGCTGTATCTTGTGGTCTTGTAAGTTGCGTCTTGCATACAGATTTCGTTTCCACATCGCTCTAAAAGTCGTCTCTGATCTTTTGACTGATGGACAAACAAGAGCCTCTTTGAGGATGTCTTAATTATTCGCTCATCCTCCCCCTCATTGTCAGACTCTCCGTCCCTGTCCTCTTCAGGTCGCGTGTTTCTTGTTCAGTGGCGTAGGTGGTGTATGGGTGATATGCGAAAGAGTCATCGGGTGAGGTTTTTTCCCAAGCTCCGTTTCCTTGAAAGGTCTTCCTGGTCAATTTTTGAGAACCTTGCCTTAACAATTGACTTGTAAATATGGTTGCGGAAGGTCGCTTCGAAGGAATAGAACCGTCGGTTGGTTTTCAGAGGTTCTTGTTTTCCTCGATACAACTCCCGCTGGACAAAAATCTTAAAGTGCCGACGAACCTCCTTCTCAGATCGTGCGCCTGCAGAAACGAGCTCTTAAATTTTGGTCACCAGCCTTCCGTCGATTCGCTGATGGAGACCGCCGGTCTACCAAAGAATAATGAATAAAACAAAACAAAATTGGCAAGATATTTTAATTAAAATTAAAATAAAAATTAAAAACAGACTATTGACTATTACATGTAAAAACACCTCCCACATTCAAATTATAATAAAAACCTTGAACCGTAAGTTCATCGACCGATGGAAGATGTACATGGATCCATCTTTCACATTTTGTTGTGCCTTCTTCTATGGCCTGTCGTAGCTTCCTGGACTGAGCTGGTTCTTACAACGCCACTCTGTCTTTTCTGAGTATCTATATGACATAAAAGCACAAAAAACGCAGCTTAACTAGAGGTTAATTCTATTTGGTTGATTTTGTAATCCACCGTAATTACCGTTGCTGCTATTTACCTTGTACTCTGGGAATTTGATGATTTCTCTCATTCAAATGTACCTGTGCAGAACAATTGCGCTTTCTAGACTCTTGAAGAAGTTTGCCAGCTCCCATTTTCGATAAGCATGGTCACCACCCTACAGGAAAGGACACAAACATGTCAGGCGGAGGTACAAGCGAAAATTGGAAAATCGATATGAAAAATAAACTAGCCGTTTGATTTCTTTTTTTCTCTCTCACCTGTCTGTCCACACCATGCTGACAGTCGTACACTTTGTGATTTACCGCAACAAATAGGATGTGGTCAAAACGCAGGCTACCGTCTTCCCGTAACACTTTGTGCTCGTGCGATTTAGTATCTGTTAATGGACAAAACCTATCAGTGGCGGATCCAGACCTTCAGATAAGGGGGGAGGGGGGGTGGTCATCCAGACCCTTAGATAAGGGGGTGGGGGCAGTCTGAAACAATTTGTTTTCGGCCCTTCGGGCCTCAGTTTGGTGTAAAAATAAGGGTTCCCTGGATCCGCCACTGCCTATGTAGAAGCATTTCCCTACACTTTGAACTAAGAGGCCTTATTACTGTTAACCTGTTCTCCCTTAAAATGTTCCTTGCTGGACGGGAAACCAGAGCTTTTTCTGATCCTGCAGTTCACTTGTGAAATCAACCACACACCCTCCCTAAACCTTCTGCTTACTGCTACCCTCACATTATTGTTTCTACGTACATAGATACGTTTCATTTCCCTTAATTTATTTTAAGAAATAATTTATATTACATTTAAACACTTTAATCCTGCTTTATAAGAATTTGAAGTTGGCCCGATTGATCAACCTAATTATAAATATACGCATATCATAGAGCTGTATATTTAATATTTCCTCGGAGTTTACATTCAAGAAGCGCAAGGTCTCCTCGAT